TGGCACAGTCAGACATGGTAGACTGCAGATTTAAGGAAACTTGGATATTGGAGGTATCCCTACTGATACTGCTGCTGGAAGTCCCCATTACAAACTGTGTCTCCAATAGTCCATATATCATACCAGTGTATTCTAACCATTTCTTGTGTGCTGTTAGACCCAGTGAATATGATGATTTGTTAAATAGAAACCAGACAGTACAGATGAATTACAGAGTCGGCAAGGTTTTCATGAGGCCAGACCTGATTGTTGCAGACATCCCAGGGCAGTGCTTCTGAGAATTGATGACAGTGCATCATCAATCATATAAAAAAAAAAACACCAAAAACCCTAGGGCTACATGCCCAATTTCTTCTCCTTAAATGCTATGACATTCACTGTAGGAAATAGCCATCAGGCAGAAAAGCAGTTCCAGGACTCACATATTTTGGAGGAGACTCCTGTGTAAAGATAAGGGATCAGCTTTCAGACTAAGACTGGGTACTGGTTGTGTTCTGCTTGGAGCAGATGTCAGATGATATAAAAGGGAACAGAGTATAGGTCAATTTTCCTGCCTAGACAGTATGATTTACCTGGTGTTTACTAGAAGTATTAGAGGCACAGACCTCAGGGAAATTTTCTTGATCCCTACCCTCTTAACCCATTCCCAGACAAATCAGAAATCATGTGGATCTTGTCAGCCAGACATTGCCCAGTGAACATGAAGGTGGCCTCCTCTCCTTCCTCCATCCTCCAGGCTGTGACTTCCTCCCAGGACCACTTGGCACTGTTTAGTTGGAGGTATGGCCATCATTAGAGAATCCTCACAACTGAGGACAGTCTCTGAGTCCTGGCTGACCCAGCTGGATGTCCATCTACTTATTCATCTCTGAAAACCTCATCTTGGAGTCCCTGTGTCTTTATCCCTGATCTTTTGTCTGTGGGTCGCCTTAGGGAAAACAGGTCCTATCACTGGGGAGAAGATGTGCAGTGCAGGTTTTGGGGGATCCCCACCCCTGTGCACTCTCTGCCACCTGCTTTGTGATTCTATAAGAGTTTCTGGGATATTTTCACACTTTATGTCTCATTTGGGTTTGTCTAGAATTTCCCTAGTGCTCATTCATAATTTGAAAAAAACATCACAGAACTGATTGGCTATCTCTTGTTAACTGAGTAGGGAGCCACATGTTATAAGGCCACATTTGTCCTGACTTGATTTTATCCCTTGGGTGAGACACTGTGTTTTAGTGTCTGCACTTGGGTTCTGTTTCATTCCCATGAAACTCTGTAGGAGGAGATCACCAATCACAGATCAAACACTGATGATGCAGGCACAGGTGTATCTGCACACACAACTTATAGTTCTTTGCTGTGTTTCAAGTGATTTCTTCACTGACACTTCTAAAAAATAGGAATTATCAGTGTAAATACATGGATTTTTGTTTAATATCATGTATTTTATCAAAATGCAAAACTATGTAATTTTTGTACCAACAATCCCAAATTTGGGAGTGAATAACCACCTTATAGCAAAGTCCTTAGACCAGAACCATACACAGTTAACCTCATAAAATCCCTGTACTGCATTACAGGGTTGGTAATACAGCTGTGGTGATGTGTGGATCCCATTGACTGTATGACACATTCCTGAGGCATAACAGAAGTGGCTTTGAGACAACACTCTGGGACAAGTGTTCTGACACACAGATGTATCTGAGGATGGAAGGAATGGAAAATCAAAAGTAGAATTCACTTTTTAATGGGTCAACTAATATGATGCCTAGGTCAGCTGAATTTCAAAATGTTGTTTTCACTAAATAAAAAAAAAAAAAATTCTTGAGACCAGAGATGGCACAGCTTGATAAAGGCTAGATTCACAAGTAAAAAGACAAGAAGTATAACCACATACAGCACCTTGATAGTAACAGTGAAAAATAAGCAAATGTGACTTTAGAAAAACAGTTTTTCATGATCAGAGAGAAAAAAAAGCTCCCAAGACTCTTTGCCCTTAGTGAGTAAGAAGCAAAAACAGAGAAAACCAGCTTTTCTTTCCAGCTCATCGCCCCCTGCTGGCCCAGAGCTCCTCTGCAGGGAGGTTTGTGTCTGGGCTCATGCTGAAGTTCCCTCACTGTGTGTCTTGCACAGTAATATGTGGCTGTGTCCTCAGTGGTCACAGAGTTCAGCTGCAGGAAGAACTGGTTCTTGGATGTTTCTCTGGTGATGGAGATGCGGCTCTGCAGGGATGGGTTGTAGTAGGTGCCACCAACATAATTTATGTACCCCATCCACTCCAGCTTCTTCCCTGGGGACTGCCTGATCCAGTTCCAGTAGTAACCACTGGTGGTGATGGAGTAACCAGTGACAGAGCAGGTGAGGGACAGCGATTGAGAGGGCTTCACCAGGCCAGGTCCTGACTCCTGAAGCTGTATCTGGGACAGGATACCTACAGACAAGAAGAGACAATTCTGTCAATCACAGGTTATCACTACCCCTCATGGACACATGTATGAAATGGTAACACTCACCAGGAAGGGCAGTCACCAGACACAGAAGACCCAACAGTGTCATCTTCTAGGCTACACCTCCCCTTCCTCAGAGGTCAGCCTGCTGTGAGAGAGATGTGAGCTCCCACAGTCCAGGAGGGGATTTAACTTAGAGCTAGAAGATGCATTTGCATGTGGGGAGTCAGCCTTGTCTTTATAAATGGGGAGTGTGGATACTACTCCCTTTGTCTGTTACAATATGGCCATCAGTTTATCTCAATTCCTGTAGTGTGAGTCTGGAATATGAGAGAATAGGGACTACAGTTATCACAGGAAACATATCTTGGCATGACCAACCTCTACTTCCCAGTCCACCCTCCCCACCTCCATTCTGCTCCTGTACTATTGCTGTCTCAGGTCAGTGCCAACTTTCTTTTCACACTAGTTTCCTGAGCACTGTCTTTCTGATTAGTAAGCCCACACAGCTCCTGCTTTTCTTCCTTTTCTCACCCATGAGATCAGTTTCTTTCTTTCTGGGAAATTGGCACACTGTCATGTTTTTGTTGGACAAGGTCCACACCTACTCTTAAACCATCCAGTCTGTGGAATATAGAGGAAACCCATGCTGAGAGAAGCAGCTTAGAATTCTGCATACCATGAACCTTTCTTAGGGATCCCATTCATCTTTTATCCTGTCTTGGTTCAAGCCCACCCATGTTAGACATCTGACAGAATCATGGGAGCAGGTGTGTGATAGCCCAACCACAGAGATTAAGGATTAAAATCAATAGGTCATTCTTCTGCCTCAGGTCTCTGTACAGACTAAAGCTCCTCTTGGAGTTTGCAACATGTGTCAGTGTTTGGCCACCATAAGAGTCCTTCCCTCTGTCCTCATCTTTCTTGTAGTTTCCACCTATGGACAAATCTTTTTTTTTCATTGAATATAGATTTTTTTCTCATACAATTTATCCTGATTCCTGAGAAAGTCAGGCATATGTCATAACAGGCTCCAAATAATTCAGTTGAGAATTAGGCCTCACTAGGTCTCGTTTATAGCTTTTGTTTCTAAGGGGGAAGTTCCTGAGAGATCCAGGAACAAAGAGCAATCAATCACTGATGCCTCTGACAGCCAATTTTCCTATTAAACTGCACATACCAGCCCCCACCAAATAAGGACAAGACCTTGAGACTCATTGCAGCTGGCCCAAATGGAAAGTTCTGCCCTTGCTATCCCTAAACAATCAGAAATATATTAGTTTCATTGTCGCTAATGAAAGTCATAGATAGAATGATTTTACTTCCTTTAAGGTTCCTGTAGCTATGTATAAAAGAAGCCTGCAAGCTTCTTATGGGGTCTTTGCCATTTTTCCTTTGTGCTGACTAGATGTAGGACACCAGCACATTGGACCTTTTTGTATCCTCGTGAATTAGACAACTCTTGCTAGTTGCATATTTCTGGTGGTCCTTTGTGGGACTTCTCCAGGACGCTAACAATTACTGTTTCTCCTTCCTCTTCTAACCCCAAGACCTGGAAGACGGCTCTTCCCATTCAGACATAACATCTCACTGTGGTGACAAATTGTGTTCCCCAATATATTGTGCATCCTGATAAGCTTATCTGAGGTCAGAGGACAGGACAGCCACTAGATAGACATAGAGGCATAAAATGGTGGTACACACACACCTTTAATCCTAATATTCCAAAGGCAGAAATCCATCCACATCTCTGTGAGTTCAAAGCCACACTGGACCATCCAGGCATAGTGACTCACACCTTTAATCCCAGGAAATGATG